GGCGGAGCAGTTGGCCAGGGGCTGCCCTGCCGTGGGAGTCACTGCGTGTCCGCTCCCAGGTGATGCAGCACCCCACGGACGCCAGGCAGCTGCTGGGCCTGCACAGCAACGGGAAGGACGCGAGTGTTCAAGTGGCTGAAATCAGCATCTGCTCCCTCTCCAGCCAGCCCATTGACCACGAGGACGGCAGCGTCCCCTCTGGCCCCAAGATCAAAGCCTCGGGTGCGTCTCTCCCAGCCCCAGCTCCCCCAGGCGCTCTGTCTCTGGCCATGCGGGCGTTTCCTGGGGACAGTGCGGGTGGGGGGAGGTAGTTTGGCTCGGGTGTGACATCTGCATTTTTAAAACAAAGGAAGGTTTTCTTCATGCAGCGCACAGTCAATCTATGGAACTCCTCGCCACAGGATGTTGTGAAGACCAGGGCTTTTACCAGGTTCAAAAAAGAGCCAGATAAATCCTTGGAGGTTAGGTCCATCAGTAGCTGTTAGCCAGGCTGTGCAGGGAGGATGTTCCTCACCGCTGTTTGTCAGAGGCTGCGAATGGGTGACGGGAGGGATCACGTGCTCCGTTCACTCCCTCGGGGGCACCTGGTGCCGGCTGCTGTCAGGGCTTGAGGAGCCTTTGGTCTGACCCAGCCTGGCCGCTGTGTTCTGATGTTCGGTGTCTGGTTCCAGATCGCTCCCCCGACATGGATAACTACTCGGAGGAGGAGGACGAGAGCTTCTCCTCCGAGCAGGAGGCCAGTGACGATGCTGTGCAGGGCCAGGTAAGGGTGGGCAGGGCCTGCTGCCTGCCCTCTGGGGGGGGGACACCCGCAGGGCCCTGGGGCAGGAGGATGGGACGGTCAGTGGGTGCCCCCAGCCCAGCCCAGCGCGCGCGGGGGGGGAGCCGCAGGGAGCAGAGCACAGGGGCTTGGGGCCATGGCTGTGCAGCCTGGATCCTCCATCAGTCCCCTGTGATCACCGCAGCCCAGAGACCCGCCCTGAGCCCGAAACCAGGCGCTGGAGAGTCCCAGGCCTGCGGTTCCAGGAGCTCGTATGCTCACTGGAAAACAGCTGCTCCCGGCTGGATTCGCAGGCTTCAGAGCCTGCTACCAAATTCCGGCTGCCCTGTCAGGACCCCTGGCCTGGGACCCAGCCAGC